CTCTCCATTTCATGCGTGCTGGGCGGCGGTAAGCCGGTTGATCTCTGTTCGGGCGGCATGATCTGGTCGTGCTGTGTGGACAAAGACCTCGATGCCGAGGATACGCATGCGGGTCAAGTGAATAATACAAGTGAGTAGAAGACGTGGGGAGACGCTTATATGCAACACACAAAAAAAAAATAGTTGACAAGCAAAGTACGAACAAAATATTATGTAAATGACTTTTAAGTAATTTTGCAACATCGCATAACAGACATTCTTAATGCCTACGCTTATGCCTAGTAAAATGCTATAATAGCTGAAGAATTGCGCTTATGTAATTTCGCTGAATAATTTTGTTGAATAATTTTGCGCAATAAATTTAATGCAGTTCAGTGTTGCAGTGCAGTTTCGAAAATGACAACAGTTGCAGCAATTACTTATATATGTGTGTATATATGTATATGCATGCTTATAGCTGTGTAGTACAATGGAAGCGTGCATGCAACGTGCTGCCACTCTTTAAGTCAATGCATTGCACATGCGCAGCCGTGGCCAGCTGTTTGAAGGTGGCTGCGGGTGCTTGAACTGTAACAGCAGATGTGCTCAAACTTTTTGAAAAAATAAAAATAAAAACCATATCTATCTCTAGCCACTCTGAGCTGTGATTTAAAAGAAAGTGCTGGTGAAATTGTTTAACAGGATAAAGTAATTAGATAAAGTGTAAGTCCACAATACTGGTTGCTAACATATGAGAACTGTGCGAGCTCAAATATAATTCTTAGGTCTTCCTTTTTATTGACTCCAAAATTAGCATCAGTTTTTCCCGAACATTGTTTTTTTTTTTTGATTTTAGCAGAAGGATGTTTTTTCAAAAAAAAAAAAATTGTGATACAATATCGACTAAATTGATCTAAGCTCTATTTTTAAACCCAATTCCTAAACTATCTGTATGCGAAATTCATTTACTAAACAGGTGGAAATCCTTTTGCTTCGCGCTGCCTGATAGGAACTTTCGCGTTGCCTAACGTAAAAGTAACACTTCTAGTTATGTTAAAGCTGATTTTAAATATCAGGGAAATGGGAGGTGCCACGCCCCTAATCCAAACTCATCTCTATTTACCTTGTAATGAGCAGATATATATGAAAAAGGTATCCATAGACTTATTGCTTATGACTTATAGCTGATTTTTTATTTTTTATAGGTGTTGCCATACCAATCGAAATATAATTAATGCCCAATATTTATTTGGAATAAAGAGTGGCCGTAGACTTCGCAATTTGCAAAGTTTCAATCAAACGCATTAAGTATTTATTGCGTGGTCCACGCCCAAATATCCAAAGGTACATACTAACATTCATATTTATGATATTATTAGGGTTAGCAGAATACGATTCGAACTCAAGTCCACATCCATGAAATATCCAAAACTAGCCTACCAAATCGTTTGCCATTTTTTGCCCAAAACTCACAGAAAGTTTGAGTACCCCTGCCATCAGCTGAGTGACGTCTGCAGTTCACTGTTGGGCAGCGCCAATTTTAAACTCTATATTGCCACATACTTACTCTCCTTTTTATGCCTTTTTACTCGATTTCTTTGGCATTAAGACACAGCATTTTCCTTATGTAAAATTAAGTGTGCTTGCGAAGTACCAAACATCAAAAACAAAAACAAAGGAAAATGCATGCGATAACAACAACGAAAAAGGTAACAATATCAATAAATAAATACCAACAGTGAGCGCGCTTTATAAATAAAAGCAATGGCGATCAACAAGTATAACAACAATGCTCCGTGTATTGACGTTGTGCTCTGATAACTCCCACATATTACTCCTCAACATGTATTTACTTTGTTTTTATTGCATTTGTTTATAATTTCCTGAACTGCCACCTGCTTAGCTTAGGATAATTTTTTTTATTTCATTCTACTTTAACTGCTTTTTTAGTTTTATTCCGCTGTATGCTTGCGTTTGTGTCTTCCCATAGCAGTTTTCCGATGATTCGCAGTATTTCCATTTTTTCGCTTGAGTCTGTTGTTGTTGAGCGGCTTTGTTTTTGACTAAGAAACCAACATAAAGTTTTTTACGTTTTGCGCTTAAAGCATTTTCAGTTTCAAAGTTTGCATACTAAAGCAGTTAAAATCGCAATACAGCCCTATAAGTAGATTTGAATGGCCTGCAAAAATAGAAGGCAGTCTGGCACACGTCCATCCTGGGTTTGAAAAATTTTGACAAAATTGATTTATAAAATCAAGGTTTTACAGTCTAGGTTCCGAGGAATAAAAACCTTTTGGAAATAGTTTGCCGGCCTTGTTAATACAAACTTTAGTAAATCAAAATCTATGTAGCCACATAACAGATCTTCTTACTTCACCTTTTCTATGCCATAGCCTCTTTGGCGTTGTCCAAAAAATCTTAATTTTGGTAAATGTTAATGGAGCTATGCGGAATAAAACACTGTGGAGAAAGTTTTCCGCCGGGTCTCTAAGCAACGTCTCCTTCAAAGATATCTAACAGCTTCGAAACAGCTACTGGCGGTAATGAACTAGACCAAGCCCATTAACTAATATTTGACTTAGCAAAACTTAGTAGTTAGGTTCCAGCGTTAAAAAGATTAACTGAGATGGCTTCTGAATGGTGGATTATTTCAGGAAAAAAAATCCTGCAAAATCCTGAGTCAAGTGTCCATGCCTAGGATGAACTCCCTCTAACTAGCCTGTACGTAGCGTGTTATAGAAGTACTCAATTAGAGAGGGTCCTAATTTTGGATGCCAAAAAAATTTATTTCTTTATTGCTGTAATAGATCGCTAAGGTATTCAAGCGCATTGTATTTTACAGTGCAATTCTGAATATTTGCAATGATACAGAACTAATAGCAGTGGGGCGATGCGCTTCGCTCGGTTTGTGACCGAAACTTTGAAGCCACTTTTCATTATTACCGCCAATCAACTGGCTAAAACTAAACAAAATATTTAAATTACTCAAAGCCATTTCTCTGCAGCATCAATTTTTGGGTGTTTATTTTTATTAGTATTTTTCTTTTAATCAAACTACGTTGAAATAAAAGTGAAAATAAAGAAATATTTTGTCAGAACCTCCCGAAAAAAAATCCTGGCTACGCCCCTTTGTACATATCTATTTAGACAAGAATCTCTATCGCCAATGAGCGAATTCAAAAATAGTTCCGTAAAAGATACATTTTGGAATCCTCAAGCAGCATGCCTCTTTAAGATAATTTATTCATGTATATAAAATTTATCCGAAAACAAGAAATACCCACAACAGCGTGATGCCTCCATATAATACGAAATTCTGAAATCTCTCAATTTTTTCCTGGAATAATCATAAGATAAAATTTGCCACAATTCTATTAAAATTTTTATTCATCCAATCGATTAAATTTTTTTTAATACAGCTCGCTTATTATTAATCTAAATTTGGGTGCCTAAGTCGACTGTTCCACTTTTTACTAAACTCACTGGACATCATTCATAAAAATTGAGCTTAGCTCAGACTCGACACTACAAATTCTTTAGCTTAGGCTCAATCCATCAGTGCAAGAGTTGAATCTGAGCTTAAGCGCACTTTTTATGCAGGAGGCCCGGTATTTAGGGATATTTCATTGAGGTGAGATTAGGGTTTAAGATAGGATAAATTGATCGCTATCGACCAGTTGAGATAAAATAGCACGAGACTATCGATATGAAATTTCATTAAGTCACCAACAGCTTATAATCCATTACTTTTCTAATTTTCGAAGAATAAATTTCACCGAACAAAACTTGATTATAGTACATTTATCCTAGTATATATCTCCATCCGCTACCAACATTTTAAATTGAGGGAACACAAATCGTATTCAACTATTAATAGTCTGCAAAACTGACAATTACTAGTTCTTGCTGCAACCTTCTCCAGGTGCTATCTTAGTTCGAACACAAAAAAATGGGGCGAACTGCCCTTTATGCTGCACCATTTAAAATTGTTGGTAATAGTTAGCCAAAAGAGCGTCTGCTACTCTAAGATTGCAGAGGATTTCCTGAAAATGAAATAAGTTGCCATTTTGGCTATATATATATATATATATATATATATATTTCATGATCCAGTGATCGGATCTAAACCAGATTAGTATGGGGCCACCTCTGAGATACTACCTTTCCGTCTAAAGTTAAGAGGAAATATACATAAAAAAATTAAAAAAATATATATTCCGACGAACTGATAACCTCCTCCTTTTTTGGAAGTCGGTTAAAAATACCACTTGGAAAGCTCTTTCATTTGATATTAAAGAGATTGAAAAAAAGATATTTGATCCGCCATTTTGTGGCGGCGGTCATTTTAAATTTGAAAATTTTTCATAGTGTTCCGTCTTTATTTGACCATCTGTTTGAGGTTTGTGAAAAAATATGTAATCCTACATTTTGTGACGGCAGCCATACTGGATTTATATGGTGATTAGAAGTAAAGGTCAACAGGTTAACATGAGGTGGGAGAGAATTTTCAATTAGTATTAGATTTGACCCAAAACAAGGGTCAAAACGACCCACACGGGTGAGAATTAGTGCATTAAAACGTTTCGCAAAAATATGCGCCATAAAATTTTGCTATAGATCTTTAAAGTGAAGATTAATGGGAAATGTAGTCTTATACGAGATATTCAGATCAACTTGGGATCAAATTAGGAAAACTTCAATACACTGTAAAAAAATTGTGATTTTTTGAATTTTTAGGGACAAAACGGCAGGTGGTGCAATATTCTAGAGCCATTCCTCTTTACTCATTGCCATACTGAATTTGTGACTGTTTTTTTTTTATTGTCGTGCAGTATAATTATCTTCTAGATCTATTTCGTTAGCCAAAATGTGCGCTAAAAGAAATGGATACAAATGTAAGTGTATAATTCTGCACATGTGGGGGGTTTCAATGCATTCCTATATTTTGTAAAAAAAACAAATTTATGTAGTTTCCTCTGTTAAACCAATTTTAGGTTGTAACTATGCCAAAACCTTTTGTCACTGCCCTCCATAGAAAATCACTAACTTGTGAGCGGAAGCGAACTAATTTCTGTTACGAAACAACTTTTCCAGACGTGCATACATATATTTATATAAACATTTGGGCAGTACCTTCGTGTGTCTGGGTTTTCACAAATATTTTTTTTTGTTTTACGCCAATAATCTTGCGGTTTAATCTTTTAATTTCACTTTCTTCTTCACTTCGACTTTGCAATTTCCGGTTAATGAATGGACGATTGTGCTCGTGTGTGTGAGTGAACTTTAGAGTTTTCTGGGAATTTTCGCTCTTTTTTATGACTTTTGTTGAATACATATATACATATACGCTTGACGAAATAAAGTTCGAGAAGATGAAAAAGTGAAAAGCAAGAGACAAACTAAAATGCATTGAAGGTGAAGCGCCCCGGTGAAGTTTCACAGAGACCCTAAATGAAATTGTCTGCGGCACTGAAGTGTGAACTTATGGCTGTAACTGTGACTATGCAGAGAAAAGAATTACAAAATTTAAATAAATAAAACAACGCTGCCACCAACATGTATTTAGACTATAAAACAGGCATATCGCGAATGTTAAGCGCAGCAAAAATTACAAAGAAAAAAATTGTAGCGGAAACATCTACAAAAAAAATAAAGTATGCTGCTTAATATTTGGCTTAACATTTCGCATTTATTTAAGTCTAAAGTGAAACTTGGTAGCGCTTTCCATGTTTTCGCTTCAATTTTTCGGATATTTTTGGAATGAAATACTTTCTAGAATATTTGTTTGCTGAGTATCGTCCTGATTTTCACAATTTCTTTAGAATTGCTTATAGCTTAAAATGAGTCCAAAACGAAGCTTCTGGGATACCTACAAGCAAAGTCTTGGTTGTGGTTTAGATGTGTACGAAGAATTTCATTTTTGTGTCACTTCCTGTCGTACGCCAATCAAGATGGCAACATTTTTTTAAGCATTCATACATAAATTAAAGCACGAAATACCCAGCCTGCACTTGCATACATACATACTTATACAAGCAAATTTATTATGACACAACAATTTGACCATCTCTGCAATTAACCTGACAGTTTCGTAACCTCTGTGACAATTTTCGGCTTTCCTTAGTTTGCGGTGGAATATTATTTTTTTTTTTTTATTTATTACATAAACACGCTAATTTAAAAATACAATTGTGGCAGTAAGGAAAACTTTATACTCACCAAAAAAGACTCCAATTATTTGTATTTCTCCTTTCTAGTTTTTTTTTTATTATTTAACACATAATTTAATGTTCCTCGCATTTGCGTAAGGCCCGCCCATTTGAATGACCGAAAGTGCAAGTTACGTTGACATCTATTTAATTTAATGTGTCCGAATATGAATTTGTGGTTGAGTGAACATTAAAGAAACGTCTACGGCAAATTCGTCACAGGCACTAATCGTAAGAGCTTTGTAATCTACAAACCAAATGAACGGTATTGTATGTAGGTATACATAATTCATGCAGGGCTTCATGTAAGCTGTCAAAGATAGTCATGTTTTTATTGTTTAGTAACTATCAAAGCGGATAAATTTCTATTTATGTAAATACCAGCGTTGAAAAAGGTAAGACTGTTAAGTGGCAAGTCCTTTTCTGCCGGTATTTCAGCAAAAAGCTTATTTAGATTTCTGATGCTATTGGAGTGTTCGTGCAAAACTTAACTTTAATCTAACAAAATAACAGGAAGTAGCGTTCACGCGAAATACTTCGACGATATAATCTGTCTCGCAATAAGGAAATTAACCATTATGCCAATCATTTAATGCGGATACAAGGTGAGCGTAGCTTGCAAAGGTGCCCAAATTTTCTTGATTGCTTCTATCCTTAATATATACTCGTAAGTTTTTTTTTCTAGAGTACTCTTGCATATTTACGTCTACTTTTAAGCCGCAACACTATCATCTTTTACACAATTTTGTACTCTCGTATTTAAGCGTGTCTGCATGCATTCACTACTTGGGGATGTTTTTTTGTTGTTGTTTTTTGTTTAAAATAAGGCATACCTTAGACTTATTGGTACATGCGCAAGCCAAAAATATTTTACAATGCTATGTAAAGTAAATATCGTTAGAAATTTAAACTAAAGATTATGTCGAAGATTAAACTAAATACCTTTTTTGAGCATTGAAATTTCTGGTAGCCCAAATTTTCAACTTGAACTAGTATTTTGATTACGAGTGTCCTCTAACGGGTGTCGAATATTACCTTGCACAAAAATGTTTTTAATTTACATAAAATCGCGCTTTCTTGTTTTTCATCAAATGATAATATGTAAGCATTAAATAGCAAAAACTCATGTCATGTCCCTTATTATATTTTTGCCACCTTAGATATTCTCTATCATCTACCAGTTCACCTCGAGATCTGCATTTAAAAACGAAACTCGTAAAAATTTTCTCATGCCTTTGCTCTACTACGCTCTGAGACACTCTTCAATTGTATTTTAATGGTAGACATTATGAAGTATTAAAAGTCAAATGTCCTCTTAACTTAACCCATAGGGCTGGTTTCTCCAACTCAACTTAACTTAGTTTAGCCATTTGTTGGTCAAAAGTTAGACTACTTTTTATTCATCTTATTCTTGAATAAGTCCAAAAAAATTGGCTAAACAGAGATAAGTTGAGTTGGAGAAACCAACCCATAGAATCCATAAAACCAAAGCTCACTTCTGAGATATTCTAAGCTTTGCGAGAACCTATGGATGTGCGAACAAATATATACTGATGCTGATAAAGTCGCCAACATTTTGTTCAATTTTGGCTATTTTTCTTTTATTTATGTAATGTTTGTTATTTACACCAGTATTTATATATTTATAACACCATATAAATCCGAATTTCATTATTATAAAAAATCTAGAATATTTCAGCTAAATTTTCACCCTTTACTCAGATATTTTAGAAATTTTTTGAGAATCGCGTTGATTTTTAATATTTTTTTTTTTGACTGCATGACACATTTTTTTCATTCAAAAAAATGTTCGAATATATTTTGTTGGGAAAAAATTTGCAATACTCGAAAAAGTTCTAAAAAATCTGAGTAAACAGTTGTTACGTACGTGTTGCCAGATGCCACGCTTCTACCTTGCTTGCAACGCGAAGACCGCCTCACTCTGCGCTTGCATCCACTCACATGCTCGGTTCGCCACGGGGTACGCTTGCTTTTAGCACGAGCTAGCTCGTCGGACTGTGGGTTGCTGTGACCTTTTCTGTTTGATAGTGACACCACATGCCCACCCTTAATTATTCCCCCTCCCCTAGCTTGATCCCATTCAAAGGCTCTTGCTGCCACTGGTGTTATTTGGCCGGCGATC